AAAATTGGGAGTGTTGTCGCCGTCTCTGCAGCAGGACGCCCGGGAGAGCGAGCGCCTCTCAGTGAGACGGGACGTCATTGTAGCAAAGCTCAAATTGAGACAGATCATCGTCTTTACAGACTACTGCCACAGAGTGTAGCTTGCAGCTGTTTGCTTCATTTTACATCAGCAACACAGAAGCTTTGTTCACTCAGTATTAAGACCAAAGAACAACAAACGAGGTGATAAAATCTCTGCAGAAATGCATCTCCCCGTGTCATGGAGTAGAAAACCTGACAAAAAATGAAGTATGGTGATGCCACCAGCTCACTTGTGGTCCTGCAGGTTCCTGGTCCGTACAGTCTGGACTGGATGAACTCCTCGGCCACCTGCTGTTGGAAGGACGCCAGCGTTCGCTCCTTCACCGTCGTCACTGTGTACTTCCCCTTCAGACTGACAAACAACACGAGTACAATAAAAGGACGGAAAGAAGAATGTGTGTTTGATCAGCTTCACTTTAGTGAATAATGATTGTCTCACATATACCAGGATCAGTTTGAGACCAGCACCAGCGTGCACTTTCATTGGATCCAAACGGCTGAGAATTAAAAACAAGTCTCTGCACACAGAGTCCAACTAATATCCTAAATTTAAAGTGTCCAATGAGGTGAGAACAATGAAAATATCACATTTCTGTATCATTATTTTATTGATTGATTTCAGCATCTTCACTTCCTCTCTGAAATGTCACTGAGTGGATTCTGATCAGTGGGTCCAGCAGTCAGTGAAGTGCTTGGTAACGACAGATTTTGTCTAATCGTGGTGGGTGAGGAGCTGAATCAATGTTTGTCTACCAATATTTTATCTGCAGAGATGTTCCCAAAACAATGAGTGGGTCTCTCCTGCTAATGAACTCCACCATCATGAACCATCGCTGGAGGAGAAACTCACGAGGACAGGCTGGAGCAAATTAGACTGAAAAATATTAGTTTGAGACACTTCCTGTCTTCAAATACTTAATTTTCTCTTGTTTCTATTGGTGCCTGGTAATGTGTAACAACAACAAGGTGTTTGCTGACCACACTAAATAATAAAGAATCTGACAAGTCCACCCAAGTAAAGTGTTTCTCTTAAACTCTGAAATAAAATGATTTAAAAACATTGACATACTTCCGGGCATTTGCCAGTTTCCCACTCCTTTTCTTTTTCTTCTTCTTCTTTCCATCTCCCCCCTCTTTTTCTGGCTTTTCCTCCTGTTCACCTGGGTGAGGACAGGTTGATTTAGGTGAAGTTCATTCTGCTGCTCTACAAATCCGTGCTCAGTCCTTCCACAGCATCAGCTAAATGGTTAAAGATTTATCAAGAAAGCTTCTTTACCTTCATCTTCAGACTGTTTCTGCTTCCTGGAGAAAAGAAAAACAAACAAATGTTGTGAGCACTGAGTGAGTTGATGGAGATGATGTGTTAAATCCAAGAATTAGACGGGTAAACTTACTTTGAGAAAGCCGAGTCGATTTCCTCCAACACGTCAGCCGATAAGAGTTTTCTTTTCTGTGGAGAAAACAGTCTGTGAAACTGCAGGTTCACACATCTTTTAGTTTTTCTATGGCATTAAGTCACACTGAAAGGCAAACAGAGAGAACTGTTTTTTGTCATTTTGCATTTTGAGTTAAAGTGAAAAATGTCAAGAATGGGACTGGAACAAAACATTGACATCCTCCTCCAGAATCATTCAAACCAGGCGTGCTACTTCCTGCCTCTTTACTGTAAAGCTAAGCAAAGTTAACCACCCTGCAGTGAAGAAGACTCACTCACAGGCAGAGGGATTGAAAACAATAATGAAGAAAAATAAATAAAACTCTCCTTCCCATCATTTCCTTAATGTTGCTTTAATACACATCAAACAGCACATCGGTGTCTCCTCCTGAAACGAACGCCCTCTGAACTCTTTTCAGATAGAAGTAAAATAAATGAAAGCACTGATGTGTGATCGGGTTGAGCCTGGATCCTGAACTATGAAGCAACTTCAGCATACTCAGGCTCTCCTAATCTGACTTCACTTAAACTAAAATCAATAGTCAGACTTCAATGGGAGTTAAACAGGTTCTGCACTTTCTGAATCTGTTAGTCTGCTTGTGTTAGGGTGATGTAAATTTCATCTTTAGACTTTAAAAAACACTTTAGCTCATATTAGTGTCGATGCAGTGAGCTCTGAGGATTGCTGACACCATTTTCCAGGCGATCGATTGTTCAGCAGGCAGTAGTTTTGAACTTGTCCATATGTTTTCTCAGGAGCAGGTTATGACTTCATGAGAAGTTACCATGGTTATGCACCCTGGTAAGAAGGTAAATGCATTTGTGAAACTTAAAACTCAGGGTTAGTGAGGCTCCAGGCCTCTGAAAGCATTTGAAACCATTTAAAATGACACACACTGACCTTCTGTTCTTGGAAGAGCTCCTGTCTCTTCCTCCTCTTCTCTTTTAGCAGCTGCTTTTCCCTGCAAACAGAGGAGCATTTCATCAGGTTTATGGATAACAATGACACAAACACACAACTGTACAGCTTCTGCTGATAATGTAATAACACTTATGGGGAATATTTGCTGGTGGCGATCAAGCATAAGCCATTCTCAGGGGGACTGCTAATATTCTGGTCCCTCATGTATAAAAATACTGCAAAAACTGACAAACGCCTCAGGATAATTTACTGATCCGTTTGTGGTCCTGCTGAGCTCACCCTTAAATGTGACTAGACGTATAGTTTATGACAAAACTGTTACAGATGTGCCAAATAAAAAGGCCTCTGAGCGTGCAGTCCATATCGGGTTTATTTTTTGACGCTTGAAAAGTTTCTCTTTTAGACATTAGCCCAACTAAACTTCGTCAAACAATCCAAAGATCCAGACTAATTTGATGACACAGAGCTGTGCGTCTGAGAGAACACAACAGCTAAAAAATACACACGTTGTGAACATGAATTTTGTTAAATTTCGTGCTGCCGATTTGATATACGCCTAGGTAAAAAATTACGTAATGTATCTGTAGTGTTCACTGGAATAGAGACGTCTAAATGCAAAGCTTTTTTGAATGGAGTTTGGCCCAACCGTCCCTGCACAGGTTAGCTAGCGGTTAGCTACCTTCTAGCGGTATCCAGCGCCTGTTTCATGCTCCGCAGAGCCTCAGCTTTGGAGTCTTCAAAGGTCACCTCCTCTGGAGCTTCATCGTCGCTAGACTCCAGCGACAAGGTGAAACTCTTTGTGGGCTTTTCGATGTCCGCCGTCTTTGACGACGAGCTCGCTTTCCCACGTTGTTTCTTCGCCATGTTGGCCAGCGTTGTGAGACGTCATCAGGCCACGCCGCACACAACGTGACGCAATAAGAATGAACCCGACTGATCGACCGACCAATGACTGCAGCCCAACAAACAAACCGTTTTAGATAGATCTAAATGAGCGAATGATAGGATTATCTAATTCTAGCAAGTTTTATCATTTTATATTTGTATTAATTTAATATTTATTTAATAAGTTTAAATTGTTTTTGCAGAATATATTTCAACATCCATACAATTATGCCAACATGTCAATATCTCGAAATGTCTAGTTAGTTACCTCTGAGTAAGTCAAAGTTTTGAGATAGAATATCATCTATATTACAGTTAACGTTTAACAATTTAGATGTTTGTAACTGTAAAGTTAGTTGTAGGTAGTATTTTCCAACAGATTTTTATTCATTTATTTTAAATTTCAGGCCAGTCTCTCAAAATTGTGTCTTTTAACTTAAATTTCGACTTAAGAATCTTGAAATCAGCTTATTCAGAAGTTTCAGTCACTAAAATTTTGAGATAATAAGTCGAAATTTCTATTTAAATCTGCCTTTTATTTTTTTTATTTATTTATTTATTTTTGTTTCAGTGGCGGAAACAAGTGTCTATATTTTCCTCATTATGTGCTTGTTTTGTAATATCTGGAGAAAAATGTTAACTACCTGTGCTTTAATTTTGAAAGATAAAACCGGAAAACCATCTCCTCTTTATTCTAGGGATCTGCCGGGCTGTTAGTAGTGAACGGCACTCAGGGTTGTATTGGCACAATGCACCGACTTCTGCTCGTGTTTGTGGCCGCTGCTGGGGCCTGTGTCTTCGTCCTCCCGCGGATGGATGCGTCCCCGGCGGTCGGGCCCTGCGTCGCCCCACTGCAGTGGGAGGGAAGGTGGGTTGTGTACGACCACAGCACCGGCAGGAACAGCCGAGCCGCCGTCTCGTACGACGCCCTGAACCAGAGGATCCGAGTCCTGCAGCAGCACAAGAAGCACACCCCGTGTCAGAGGTAAGACCAGTAAATAAACACAAAGTAAACATGTTGTTTACAGACTGCGTTTTATTACTGCACACAGTCAACAAAACAAGCTGCAGCTGTAAATCTGCGCTTAATAATCTCCAAATCATCTATATAAGCATCACTCCATTTATCATTTAACAAAAAACACAGTATGATACCATGCTCTACTTAACACTGTACTTAACTGTTTTGTAAAAGCTTAGAAGGTCACTTATAAAGCGTAATAAGGAACAATGTTATTGGCTGGTGTGGAGACTTTTCTTAAATATTGTAAATGTTGCTATTGGGATTAATAAAGCTGATTTATAATGGATTTG